TTGATTTAATCCATTCGGACCTTATGGGTCCTATGGAAGTGGAATCATGGGGTAAAAAAAGGTATATCTTCACTTTAATTGACGGTAATACAAGGAAAATGTTTTGTTATTTTCTAAAAAATAAAAGTGAAGTTTCAGACATTTTTAAGAACTTCTGCTCCATGATAGAAAATCAAACTGGAAGAAGAATTAAAGTTCTGGGAACTGATAATGGGGGAGAATACTGCAACAAGCAATTAAAAAAGTTCCTCAGTGATCGGGGTATCAAACACGAAACAACAGTACCTTATAGTCCTCAACAGAACGGGGTAGCTGAACGCTACAATCGGACTATAATGGAAAAGGTACGTTCTATGCTTGCTGATTCCAAAAGTTCAAAGCAGATGTGGGCAGAGGCCACCAATACGGCTGTATATTTGCTGAATCGATCACCAACTAAAAAATTACACGGTACCACACCGGAAGAAAAATGGACCGGAAAAAAGCAAGATCTGAGCCACCTCAGGATCTTCGGGTGCCGTGCTTTTGTTCATGTACCTGACATCAAAAGGAAAAAACTTGACGACAAGAGTAAAGAGTATGTTCTTGTCGGATATTCTGAGACGAGCAGTGCATACCGACCCTTAGACCCAATTGACCACAGTCTAAAAATAGCCAGGGATGTAATATTTTTGGAAGACAAACTCTCGGGCAACATTGCACCAAATACTCCTAGTGCATCTACTACAAAGGATACTGTTTTCTTGGAGATAACACCGGAAGATGCGGATGCTGATTATGGCACAGAAAATACAGCGGCTGAGGCTCCTGATCTTCAACAGGAAACTACAGAAAAAAACAGCGAAGTAACAGTGAGTGATGGTGAACGTGACGCGAGTGAGGGTGAGTGCCAAAACCAAGAACCCAGGTATCCCAAACGCGTAACTGGCANGATTTTTAAGAACTTCTGCTCCATGATAGAAAATCAAACTGGAAGAAGAATTAAAGTTCTGAGAACTGATAATGGGGGAGAATACTGCAACGAGCAATTAAAAAAGTTCCTCAGTGATCGGGGTATCAAACACGAAACAACAGTACCTTATAGTCCTCAACAGAACGGGGTAGCTGAACGCTACAATCGGACTATAATGGAAAAGGTACGTTCTATGCTTGCTGAATCCAAAAGTTCAAAGCAGATGTGGGCAGAGGCCACCAATACGACTGTATATTTGCTGAATCGATCACCAACTAAAAAATTACACGGTACAACACCGGAAGAAAAATGGACCGGAAAAAAGCAAGATCTGAGCCACCTCAGGATCTTCGGGTGCCGTACTTTTGTTCATGTACCTGACATCAAAAGGAAAAAACTTGACGACAAGAGTAAAGAGTATGTTTTTGTCGGATATTCCGAGACGAGCAGTGCATACCGACTTTTAGACCCAATTGACCACAGTCTAAAAATAGCCAGGGATGTAATATTTTTGGAAGACAAACTCTCGGGCAACATTGCACCAAATACTCCTAGTGTATCTACTACAAAGGATACTGTTTCCTTGGAGATAACACCGGAAGATGCGGATGCTGATTATGGCACAGAAAATACAGCGGCTGAGGCTCCTGATCTTCAACAGGAAACTACAGAAGAAAACAGCGAAGTAACAGTGAGTGACGGTGAACGTGACGCGAGTGAGAGTGAGTGCCAAAACCAAGAACCCAGGTATCCCAAACGCGTAACTGGCAAACCGGAAAGGTATGGTGATTATATTAGTGATTATGATTCAGATGTTTCCATGTTAAGCATATCAGATAATTTGGAACCTGTTACCATTTCTGAAGCATTGTCAAGCGCGAGTAGCAAAGAGTGGAGAAAAGCAATTCAAAACGAACTTGATGCACTCAAAGCAAATAATGCTTGGGAATTGGTTGATAAACCCAATAACAAAAATATTGTAAAAAACAAGTGGGTTTTCACGATAAAGAGAGACAATAAGGGGAATATAATAAGGCTTAAAGCTAGACTGGTAGCAAAGGGCTTCACCCAAAAATATGGGGTAGATTATTCAGAGACTTTTTCTCCTGTTATTAGGTTTAGTAATTTAAGATTATTACTAGCAATGACTGTTAAATTAAACTTAGATGCAGATCATTTAGATGTAGAGACTGCTTTCTTGAATGGGGAAATTGATGAGGAAATTTTTATGTGTCAGCCTGAAGGTTTTATAGAGCCAGGATCGGAAAATAAAGTTTGTCTACTCAAAAAGGCTCTATATGGCTTGAAGCAATCGGCTAAATTATGGTACGAAAAAGCGCGAAATGTACTTTTAAAATTAAGTTTTGTGCAATCACGAATTGAACCGTGTATTTTCTTTAAAAATTCGGCAGATTCTATTGTGATTGTGGCGCTTTATGTTGACGATTTTTTTGTTTTCTACAATGACCACAATGAGGCACAACGTTTAAAAATAGAATTGAATAAAAATTTCCATATCAAGGACCTTGGCCCGATATCCCACATTTTAGGGATAAAAATTGAAAGAAATCGTTCAAAGGGCGAATTAAAAATCAGCCAGGAACAATACATTAAGAAGGTACTTGATAGATTTGAAATGTCAAATTGTAATGCTGCAAAAACACCTTTAGAGCAAGGTCAAAAATTTCCTGTTGATGGAGAATTTGTTGACGTTTCATATCAGCAGTTGATAGGATCTATCATGTATCTTGCGGTGTGCACAAGACCAGATATTTCTTTCCCGGTTTCTTTCCTTAGCCAATTTAACAAAAATCATACAAAAGATCATTGGCTGAGTGCTAAAAGAGTGCTAAAATATTTAAATGGGACAATAAATCTAGGTATTATTTTTAAAAAATCATGTGATCCGATGACTGGTTTTGTGGATGCTGACTGGGCCAATAATCAATGTGATAGAAAATCATTTTATAGCTATATTTTCATGTTAGCTGGAGGACCCATATCATGGGAGTGTCAAAAGCAGAAAACTATAGCTCTAAGTTCAACTTAGGCTGCGTATATCGGTATACGTGAAGCTACAAAAGAATCACTGTATTTAAAGTCACTATGCACCGAAATGTTTAGTGCGAATAATTCTTGTGATTTTCTAAAAATTGGGGAGTCGAGGTGGAATGGAATTTCTTTGCGACTAGCCATGGAAAGGGTGCAATGGACGGGGTGGGAGGTTCAGCAAAAAGAATGCTTTGGTCTGCAATAATGACAATATTTGAAATCAAAAGTTAAAGGTATGAAGATTTTCTTTATTGCAATAGATGACATAGACAACAACAAGGAAAAACTTAATAACAGATGGAAGATGATCCAGCCAATTCCGTATGTTCAAAAGCAGCACCACTTCCGAGCATTAAGTGATAAGTGCCTTGGTTATGTTCTCACAGCCATTTTTTTAGAAAAAAAGGCATTATTGTTGCAAGAAGGAAAGCTCAATTATGCTGATGTTTATAGCGAGAGTGAAAATGAAGAAACTAACTCGACGGCTTGGATAAGGATGAAATAAACCCAGCACTAAGATGAAGTTTTTCCACTATGGATAATGACAGGTCTGGCATTGATGATGCTAATGTTAGCAAGGGTAAAAACGAAGAAACTAACTCTAAGACAGTGGATGCGGATAATATAGACCCAGCACCAGGACCAAGTCCTTCCACTATGTCTAATGACAATTCCAGCACTCATGGAGACACTATCAAGATTGGCACTTACCTTTTGGTCAAATTAGAAATGACTGCGAGAAAAAAGTCAAAAGAATATAAATACCTTGCTGTTTCCCAAAGTACAGGTGACGACGACAATGAAATAAAGGTCATGTTTCTAGAATGTGCAAATAAAACTGGCGAAACCTTTCGAATGAATGAGGATGACGTTTCATACATTAATACAAGTCAAATTTTGGAAATTCTACCTGAACCGATCATGAAAACCTTTGGTGATAGAGTATACTACCAATTTGCACAAGTGGTTGATATTATGGTGAAAAAATAATAGTATTTGTCTTACAAATTAAAAAAACCTGATTGATTACTTGTTTGGTTAAATAATTAATTAAATGTTTTGTTTAAGTAAATAAAAGTGAAGTTTATTGATTTTATTCAAATCTATATATCCCTGTATGTTACTTGTCCCACCCGTCACAAAGTGCTATCCCACCCGTCACAAGCTAGGAGACGCAATTTTAATATTATTTTTACAATTTTTTTGCGTAATTTATACAAATACCCAGTTCATACAATCTCAGAAACAATACTGAAAAAAGTTGTTTAAGAAAAGCTGCATAGTTTGTTACAAATTGCGAAGTGTATCAGTCAACTCGGAGAGGAGGGGCAATTTGATGTCCCACCTATCACACTTCTAATACCATCAATTTTTAATAAAAAAGTGGCATTTTATTACTCCTTTCAATGCTGAACTATAAATATAATATTTAGCTTTATGATAATATTATATTTAATACTAAAAATATGGCAGTTAGGTAGAAATAAATCAAGAAGTGTTGTAAAAGGAGTCAAAATGTCCCACCCGTCACAATGGAATGACCCATAAGCAACTTGTATGTTTAAGAATAAAGAAATGTTTAATACTTCCTCAACTCAAGTGTTTTGGAATTCCTTCACCAAAAACAAACAGTAAAGAAGGATTCGTGGGTGAAAAATGTGCATTTGAAGGACTGGATCCCACCTGCAAACGATTCAATGTGCAACATGCATTTCGAAGCGAAGTGATTTTACAAGACATTTAAAACATTAAGAATTACATGAGGCAGTTACAACAATTTTTCCACAGTTGCTTAGCTACCTCAAGTTTTTTGGTGGGCCACCGCTCAGTAACGCGTCGAGATAGGCTTCTGAAAATGTCATAAAACGTCGTATCCCATGCTTTAAAGACGATTTAGACCATCCATTTTATTCTCTTTCCACACATAGAGGCTGTAGCTACCTAGAGTTTTTTGGTGGTCTATCGCTCAGAAACTCGTCGATATAGGCTTCTGAAAATGTCATGAATCGTCGTACAATAACTGCGAACAATTGCTAACAGCACTGCAGTAATACACATAACCTTCCGTAGCTAACACGTCGTCTGTGAGACCGCCTAAGAAAATTTCCGATTATTCCCAAAGAAATCGCGAACGCGCTTGGCCATTCTCGATAGCTGATTTTCTAGGGCTAGTGGACTCAGTATCAAAATTACAGCGGAGGTGAATTGTTGTAGCGTGTGTTATTAAGTATTCGGTCTCTGAGACGGATGTTGGTTGTGGTGTAACTTTTGTGGTAAGTTACATTTTTGTTTTATTTTGTAAGAATTGTACTAATTATTTATTGTTTTTAGAGATTTCCGTAAATATGGCTTCTTCAACTTATGAAGAAGAAGAAGAAATACGACTACAGCGTATGTTTGATAAATTGAAACGGACGTAGACGTAGCAGAAGATAGCGATTCAAGTTTGGGGGAAGACAATATTGAGATTCAAGAAGAAAATTCCGACAGTGAACAAGACATAACAGATAGCGAACTAAATGGAAGTGGAAGCTGTAAACAGAGAAGAGAAACTCGCATACCTTGCATGATAGGAAAAGATGGAACCAAGTGGAGAAACCATTGTCACCGATATCCCAATGTAAGAACTGAGTTCTTTGAATATTTTAACAATAACCTACCAAAATTCTTCTCCCTTTCGCAGTATACAACAATCGATGAAATGTTATGGGCATTCAGAGGAAGGAGTATATATACCCTCGAAACCCAACAAATATGGCCTAAAAGTGTATGCATTGGTAGATGCAAAAATGTTTTATACTGCGAAAATGGAAATATATGTTGGTCAACAACCAGTGGGGCCATTTTATGTAAACACATCAAATATGTTTCTGGTGCCAAGATTATGTCAACCAATTTCTGGATCTAATCGGAATCTCACAACAGACAACTTCTTTTCAAGTATTCCATTAGCATATACTCTTCTCCAAGAGCATAAACTGACACTTATTGGTACTTTGAAAAAGAATAAACCGCAAATACCACCAGATATGATGATAAAGAGGCCCGAAAAGACGACTATGTTCGCATTTGAAGAAAAAAGTACCTTAGTATCGTATATCCCTAAACCACGAAAAAACGTATTTCTTCTTTCAACTATGCATCTTGACGACTCGATTGATGGGGAAACAGGAAAACCATCGATTATAATCGACTATAACAAGACCAAAGGCGGAGTGGATACGGTTGACAAGTTATGCGCAGCTTATAACTGCGCTAGGATTACCCGCCGCTGGCCTCTAGTTCTTTTCTATGGCCTGTTAAATATAGCAGGTATTAATTCTTACATTATATATAAAAATAACAATATCGACAAAAACATTCCAAGCAGTGGTGTTGTCGAGCAGGAACGCTCCGGAACGTCGTTCCGGTACTTCCTTTTTGGACAGGAACGCGTTCCGGAACTAAAGATGATTTCTGATAACGAGAATTGGCTTATTTGAACATATACACAAAATCATAAAAAAAGCGAAAGAAGAAGCTCGCTCTAAACGGGCCCAAAACAATGTGGAAAACAATTGATAAACCGAAAAAAAGACCAATTCCAAAACCCCAGAAATCGGTGTTATCAAAGAAACCGGAGAAAGAACAAGCCCCGAAGACAAGGCAAAAGAAACAAACGTTTTATAAGTACTGATTTCAGCCCAACGAACGCTGCGTATTGTTTTTGAAGTTTTTAGACGAGGTATTTGAATCAGCGTTCATAAAACTATTACCAACTGGTCCAATCCAGTAGACGTATTTTGATGCTGATAAGCAGAACAGTTCAAAATGGAGGATTATCAAGCAAAATTAAGAGCATTATGTACTGATAAAATAGAGAAAATGATTGACAATAACGAATTCGAAAAATTATTCCTGCTGTTTGATAAAGTAGATGGCCGAATTCAAGATTTTATTTACTATCGATTTGAAGATAAAGGGTTGAGTTTTGATCGTATATATTATGAAACTGTTGTTCTTCCCTGTGCTCCACACATCGAATATGGTGCCGATGACGCTGAAGATTATTATAATGAAGTGAGTTGTGCACAGTCCGAGAAGCTTTGTGTCAATCGAAATCCACAGCCAAAACATAAGCTTGATCAAGAAGTTAATCTTATGATGCTTTGGCACAATGTCACTGACGACGAACTTGATGTGGAATCCATATTTCAACGACCTACCCCATCAGTTAGTGAACCACAACGATGTATGGAAGTTGAAGAATTCAAGGGATTGGATCCTGAACCAGGATGTAGTAAATATCTGTCTTCCATTGATACCGCTGATGAATCTTCCAAAGAGATATCACCCCCCCCCCCCGAAAATATTTCTGCCAACATAAGTCCAAAGTTTGCAAAAAACTAAAGAAAAAATAGGAAAAGTACCATACACCAAAAAACACTATTGAACAAACACTGTTTTTGAAACCGATTGACACTAGAGAAGTAAACAGACGCACCACTAATCTTAACATAAACAAGGCAACAGGACCCGACGGAATCCCAGCATCAATACCAAAAATAAAAGCACAATAACTAGCCAAACCACTTCTTCACATATTCAACAAATACTACGAAACAGCTCACTGCCAAACACCCTTCAAACAAGCTCAAATCACCCCAATTCAGAAGGCAGGTAACAAACTATAACCCAATGACTATGGACCAATATCAGTAATATCAAGTACAGCTAAACTTTTTGAAAAAAGTGAAAGAAAGACTGACAAGCTCATATAAAACTATCTCACAGATAGGACTCAAGCTGTAAAAATTGAAAACCATAACAGCAGTCCACAAAAATTACATGCGGAGATGCTCGAGGGACCATACTGGGTTCACTATTCTTCACTCTCTTTATGAACGACCTTTTCCAAAAAAAATGCGCGGGAAAACAATAATTTACGCGGACGTCATTGCGTTGTTTCACAAAACAGAAAAATTGGATCAAGTAGTTCACGGAATATCCCAGGACATGGAAGAACTAACGAACTGATTCTCAAACAACTGTCTAACCATTAATCTAGAGACAACCTGCTTCCAAACGTACAGCTGCTATTCAGATATTATCCCCAAGATAAATACAATAAATTTTACGCTCGGAGGCAAGACAAGCAAAAGAAACAGTAAAGTACATTAGCATTATAATAGATAAACATCTAAAACGGGAAAGTCACTTAACAAACCTCACAAAGAAGCTGCAGTACCTCCCTTTCACCATAAAGAAACTGCGAAATCTCATATCAAGAAAGCAGTTAATAAACATATACCACAGCCTATTCCTATCAATAGCTACGTATGGAATACGGGGAATTGCATGGGGAGGATGCTCATTAAACGCAATCAGAAAATTGTAGAAACTACAAAATCGGACTATAAAAGCGTCGTACGGATAACCGGCCAATTAACACGTTAAGCGCCACAGAATCTAAAAATTAGGTCCATTGGGTCAAAGCGTTATTATCATCAAACACGCTTACTTTTAGTTTCAGTTTAACATATTCACTTGACTTTTTCCTCAAATACTGCGATTTTCTCCTTTTTTTGGTTTTTTTTTTTAGGTACTCGTTATATGTCGCGTGACCCTTTGACCAGCAAGGCCACTAGTAGCATATAAGTCACGTCGCATTTTTTCCAAGTCAAGACTGGCTTGTAGCTGCATCTTTTCGTGCTTCAAACCGTTTTACAGAGAGATATGTCAAAATACGAAGACCAGCAAAAAATAATTGTTGTAACTGTGGACTGAAATATTATCGAATGAAGAAAGTGATGGTAGTGAGTTAGTTGGAGCAAGTGGGTCAGACAGTAGTGGTAGTAGTTTTATAACTAATTTTGCTCAGTCAAAGAAAAAACGTTTGAGAGCTAATTGTTCGGAGAAAAAATTGCATATTCAAAATGAAGGCACTTCGATGAGCCGAGAGAAAATCGTTACACCTAATAATCAAGTGGATGCTAATATAGATAAAATAATAGAATATGTTATTGCTCAATATACTGAGGAAAATGTAGGTAGTGAAGACGAAGAGATTGAAGTCCTAGACAATAATACTGATTTTTCCCAATTGATGTGGCGTTCAATCGACGGTACCTCATTAAAACAGTTTTTTTTTATAGCTCTAAATATTGGTATTAACGTTCAAATATATGCTGACTTCTATAACAAAATCCCAATTGATATCTTCAAATTATTTTTAACCGGTGAAATAGTGACACAGTGTAGTGGAAACTAATCGCTATGCCGATTAATACTTGACCAAACCAAATAAGTCAAAATCTCGTATCAGAAAATGGATTCTTACTAATAATTTAGAAACTAAAAAAAAATTGGGTGTTCTTCTGTGGATGGGTTTGGTAAGACAGCCATCACTGCAATCATACTGGAGGAAGAGCCCTTTGTATTCCTACAAGATTTCTAAAATTTTACCACGAAACAGATTTGAACTCCTCTTGGCTATGGTACACTTTAACGATAATGAAAATTCTTCGGTTCACAATTACCGACTTCGAAAACAGGCCATTGGTAACCAAACTGCTAGGAAGATTCCAAAAAATTTTCACACCTGGTACAAATTTGTAGATAGATGAGACGATGGTCCCATTCCGTGGACGACTCCTTATCAAACAATATATAAAAAATAAAAAAAAAAAACAAATTCGGCATAAGAGTATTATAAGTTGTGCTTTGAAGGTGGATATACTTATAATTTGACAATATATTGTGGTAACAACTGCGTGCAAGGAGGACAGGCATCCTAAAATGTAGTGGTACACCTAATAGAAAGACTTTTCAACGCTGATCGGAAATTACACACCGATGATTTTTACAGGAGTGGTTTGTTGGCCACTAAATTGTTGAAAAAAAAAACATTTGATTAGTACCTCCGCACCACTCACAAGTATAATCCAAAGGCAGTAGTGCAAAAGAAATTGAAGTGTAAAGATGTAGTGAGACAAGAAAACGATACAGGAATAATAGTACTAAAATGGCAAGACGAAAAGTACGTCCTTGTGTTGAGTACCATTAGCACGGATGCACAGAAAAAAATAAAGAAAAGGTGATTAAATTGAACAACCTGAAGCTATCCTGGATTATAATAATGCAAAATAATTCATTGATATCTCCTTTCAAGTCAAGGCTTATTCGCATTGTTTATGCAGAGGTACTAAATGGTACCTATAGAAAACTAGCCATTCTGCTGTAGTAAATGCTCACATATTTTACAATGAGGTTACTCAGAATGGAATCTCCATCGCAGATTTCCGAGAACAACTCTCTTTATCTTGCTTAGACTCATGGAGACTAACCTAAACCTAACTTTTGAAGGAGACAATGAACAAAATGATGAACATGTGTTAATAGAAACAAACACGTTTGCCTTGTATTGTGTGCTATCGAAATCTCAAAGCAAAGGACGGGCGAAAAGTTGCGCTTAATAAACGGCTGCATTCTAAATTGAAATGTGCTGCCTGTAGCAAATGTTATTGTGTTCAATGTTTTTTTGAAAACCATAATGCCAAAAAATTTAATACATAATGTACAAACATTTTTCCATATTACTGTTTATTTTTGTCGTTGCTTTGTTTATTTTTGAATAAAAATGTTTGAACCTGTTTAGTTTATAAGTTATTTCTTGTTTGTAGTCTACAAAATGTCCACGTTTGCCATATTTTGCTGTATTACTGTTAATACTTCTGTCATCACTATTTATTTTAGTATAAGAATGTCTCAACCTCTTCAGTTTAAAAGAGTTCGTTTCTATTTTTGGTCTGGAATTTCCACATTTTGTAAAATTCTATAACCAACGTGTTTTGTAAGGTTTCTATTTCCAATAAAGTATATTTTTGCATAATAACTAGCTACCATAAGAATTGAAATCATTAAACATAATTGTAATTATTTGCAATTCTGGGATACTCTTATATACCATTTTTACACAAGAAATCAAGACAAAATAGAATAAGTATATACCTTTCAATTACAATTTGTACTCTGCGCATCACATTTCCATTTTTTATCACTTCCATTTTAATAGGGAATAATTAATATCACCCTGCATTACCATTTAAGTCATATATAAATATCTCCAATTTTTGCTAAACTTTACTATAGGCACATGTTGATAAATTTACTTCAGTTTTAGCTACTTCTTTCAATTCTTCTTGCAAAAGCTGGTGAAGTGTTTTCCCATCATGTTTATACAACCAGTAACCATTTCCTTCATTTACAAAGTCATATCGTTTGGGTCCTGATTGAGGAGAACTTAACCAAATTTGTCGATTAGGGATTTGTCGATTAATTACATAAGTTCCTAATTGCGGTCCAAGATTTAATGTTAACACACCATCCTACAGTTGTAACAACAAATAATTATAGGTACAAGCAGTTTACTATTAGTACTTACACTATAAGATACATCAGCATTATTTAAATGGGAATTTAATTCTACTAATTCTTCCAAGTATTCCGACAGACTATCCAATGTTTCTTCACAAGCCTTTTCAAAGACTGTAAACTCAGGTGATTCTACTGTGGAAACACAGTAATGTGCTTTCTTCCCTACACTGTGCTCAACCAGTCTAGTTTCAAAAGTAATACAATTTTGGTTTACCTTCCTTTGCGTAACTGAGTTATGTAAAAACTGTACTTTATTAAAAAGTGGCACACAAAAAGTATGGAATTTTCTGCAAGGAATCATTTTGTGTCAACAAAGACGAAAAAATGCAAACATAGACAAACTTGCGACAAAACACGAAGAGAGACAATCAATTTCTAAACTACAAACCATAGATAACTAGTGTTGGGCGTACTCGAATCCAAGAATCGAAATGTACTCGATTCCTGAAAGTATTCGCTGTGCACGAATACTTAGTCATAAGTACTTAAGAACCGAATGCATTAGTATGAAAGATATCACGTCTATAGAAATTGATCTTCAACTTCGAATAGCGTTGCCAAGTTCAGTAGATAGAATTATCGCACTCTTTAAGAAAAATTTTCGTATTAACATAAAAAATATCGTACGTTATTGCGCATGCGCATCGGAGTAATAGTTAGTGATGGGAGTATGAATTTGTAAAGAGAGTCTGTGTATAAAAACTTTCCTGACAGGCTAATAACTTCAAATAGAAAAATGAATTTCGGGCTGGATTTTAAAGTTCTTTTTTTAGAGTCCATAAATAATTAAATTTTATTGAATGTATACAAATAAACAACTTTCCGACATATATTTATATATGTAAGTAAGTAAGTCCGTTAACCGTCGCCAGTTTAGCAAGGAGAAGNAATTTCGGGCTGGATATTAAACGTTTTGGAAAAAAGTTCTTCTTTTAGAGTCCATAAACAATTAAATTTTATTGAATGTATACAAATAAACAACTTTCCAACATATATTTATATATCTATGCATATAGTGTATATATTTTAACATTATAAAATTGTACTTAAGTTATTAAAATCAACTATTCAACATACATAAAAATATTTTTTTTTACAATAAAATCTAATACAATAATAATAATCAACGTATTAATTCTGTTTTATTATTATATCGTCACCACTATCATCACATATTGCACGAATTATCGTACGTTTAATAGAAATGTGAATTACGATATCGTACATCGTTTTTTAAGCAAAATTATCATATGTCTCCATAATTATCATGCAGGCTGGCAAAGCTGACTTCCATGCCTGTCATTGAACTAGACCACAGATACTGGAACGCGCCCGCTATGTTAAATTTGTGAGGGCAAGTGTGCGAATAGCTCCGCTGCTGCGGTATGGCATACCATCTCTCTTTCACACACAGGCGCTTATAAGTCAATAGCGGTAGTCAGATTAAAATGAGGCAGGTGTGCTATACCCGTGTATGATTTTACATTGCCGTGCGGTATCTTTATCGCAGAAATTTTTAACAAAATATTGGCATGTTTTAAAATTTGTTAAAAGGCAATAAATTCGTTAGAAATAATTTTTATTGTGACCTAGTTTACAAACAGAATATTACAATTAATCCAAAAAAATTCTAATTTTAATTAACCAAATTATTCTGATCCTGATATGAGCCCTGATCATCAAAGTACATAAGCCGATGATTTAGCAATCTGTCAATTCCTTATGAGATAATATTATGTTCAATTCATGGACGTTTACTAATGGACTTCTAGTGGTTTTTGTATTCCGAAGAACATGTTAAATTTAGGTGTATTTTCTTCCATATATAGTTTGTCGCAATGATTTCATTTATATATTTTTTCATATATTTTACGTTATTTCAAATAAACCGACAAATAATAGTCGGTATTAGTATAGGAATAAGACAGCATTCATTCGATTCTTGTAACCAGCTTTCTGAGAATTATAACATCGCATTTTGCACGTAGGCAGGTCATAAAATTGACCGATCGGGCTAGGGTTTATGAGTCTTTTGTCCGGTTCCATCCGGTCGGGCGGTAGTTTCGACCACGGGAAATTCCTAGGTTTAGGTACTTACCTTTCAGATTTCTTGTTTGTGTGTATGCATGTGCTGGTTACAAGGAACAAATGTTGTTGCCAGTACTAATAGCATTCGGGTAGCGATCCTTGTCGAACGCACAATATTTTGTCTTTATCAATATTCCCTTTTTGTATTTCGTTGTTGGAATTCAAATTCTAAAGTTTTATTAAATCCAACAGAAATTACTGTGTCAAATTAATTTGGGGCACAGTTGTGGTCTAGTGTATATAGGAGACTTACAATTTCCTTGGGAACTTTCCGTATGCTAAGTCCTCAACTTTTTTCATGGTCCTTCGAGCCAGATTGCTGACACCCAGGATTACAGTGAAGTGCACCTTTAGGATTACAAGGATTACAGTGAAGTGCACCTTTAAAGGTGAATTTATTGTGAAAACGGGAGTTTTTGTGCGCTAATTAACGTGTGTGAAATTACTGTTTGTGTAATTCGGCACGTGTCGCGATCTACTGAATCGCTATTACATCGTCGGAGTTTGCTGATCGGGACTTCTAGGGAATTACTCGCTTACCAAGAGTTTGGGAAACAGGAGACTGGACGGGACATCACTGACGATATATACCGCTTGAGCACAACGTTGATAAGGTAAGCTCGTTATTGTTGTTGTACCGCATTCCTCTCCTACAGGTCTATTCCCTTAACCGATCCCTTTTATAATGGCAAACGAAGAAGTAAGAACGTTAGTACAAAAACGCGCCATCATTAAAGGCCAAATTACTTCGATGGAGACGTTTTTAAATAAATACAAGACCGGACCCCCCGATGCTATTAAACTTCAATTGCGCATTGACAAATTAAAATCATCCTATTTACCATTCGATGAATATCAAACCACAATTGAACTACTAGAACCTGGTAAATACGAAGAAGAGCGTTTTGAAACTCAAGATCATTATTTTGATGTCCTTGCGGAAGCCGAAAACTTAGTGTGCGCCGCGTTAAAACCACCAAGGAAGAAGGTCGTCCCCGGACAGAGAAACGTCGCGTCAAATTACCGGAAGCTTCTTTGCCTCGTTTTGATGGGCGTTATGAAGACTGGTTGTCATTTAAAGATTCATTTGTGTCTCTTATACACAGTCAGACAGATTTGACTAACGTAGAAAAATTACAGTATCTCAAATCGTGCGTAATAAGAGAAGCTGCGAAGAAAATCAAAACCATAAGTATAATGGACGAAAACTACCAACGGGCTTGGGATACATTAAAACGTGCATATGCCGACAAACGATTAATAATTAGCAAACATTTGAGTCTGTTACTTCGATTGCCTGTACAAGAACGTGAAACTGCTGAAGGCCTCAGAAAACTGGCAGACGACACGTTACAGGATGTAAAATCGTTGGCAACATTAGGGGTAAATGTCTCCGAAGAAATCCTCGTGCAGAATTTAGAAGAAAAACTGCATCCTTTGACGGCCGAGAAATGGGAGGAAACATTACAGCGTGGAGTTTTTCCTAAGTTGGACGACATGACTGAGTTTCTGTATAAAAGCGCCGCACGACTATCTAAACGCAACCAACAACATGATGGAAGCTACAAGACAACGAAAGCTATTGTATCAAATAAGTTTCAGAATCAACGCAAGGCTAAGAGAAATCCTTCAGGAGCCGGTAAGCAAGTTTTCGTATAAAGTACACCCGTTAATTGTCCTATTTGTCCGGAAAATACATCAACTTTTTCGCTGCAAGAAATTCCGCGAATTACCCCTATCTAAACGCACAGAAGTAGTGCAACAAGAGTCATTGTGTAAAAATTGTTTGAAAAAACACGACGCTAAGCCCTGCACATACATAAAGTGTTCTGCTTGTAATGAACCACACAATATTTTATTGCACGAATGACTAGTTGGTCCTACGGGAGATAGGCAGCTTTCCGTTTCTCTAACGACACGTGCGATGTCAAATCACCTAATGACAAGCGCAGTAGTTGATATATTAGATAATAAAGGTATTTTCATTAAATGTCGTGCATTATTAGATACATGCTCTACTGAGAACTTTATTCCGCCGAATCTCCGATTAGCAGATCCAGAATTTTACATACCAGCTCCAGTAGATTTGCTTCTGGCTTCCGGACCAACACTTGCATCATTTTGCCTTGGGCAAATTAATTTATCAAACGAAACGGATGAGCTGTACTTGCAGAAAGCAAGATATGGTTGGGTGATTGGTGGACGTGTAGTTAATCACACCGACGCCGACGTACCGTTCCCAACTTGTAATCTTATCAACTTGCAGCGCGTTGCAGCGTTCTGTTGAAGAAAGCCAGTGTGAAGAACATTTTAACAACCACACTTCGCGGGACAACTCGGGCCGTTACATCGTCTCTCTTCCCTTCAAGAATGAGAAAAAGCCTCTCGGCGAGTCGCGCTCTCAAGCGTTAAGGAGGCTAAATTCATTATTTAACAAATTTCAAAGGGATCCCAAGTTAAAGGAAGCCTACACATCGGTGATCGACGAGTATTTAAATCTTGGACATATGAGTGAAATCGATAGTGATAAGGAAGAAGGGTTTTATCTACCTCATCACGCCGTTATTAAGGACTCGAGATACTTTGATGGTTGTAAAGAAAATGTATCGGCAAGTACTAATACATACATAAAAACGATCGAAAATTTCAACGAATACTTTGGAAACGAGGGGATCATATAGTCACTTTAGAATTAAACACCGTAACTTTTGGTATCGCCCCGGCACCCCATCTCGCGATACGCTGTATTCATCAACTTGCAGACGACGAGGGCCATAAGTTTCCACTTGGCTCACATATTTTAAAACGCGATCTGTATGTGGACAATTTATTAACGGGAGCTGAAACCATTCAAGAGGCGCGTAAGATACAACAAGAAGTGACGCAGCTCATGCAACTAGGTGGATTCAACATGCGACAATGGGCATCTAACGTATCACTAATATTACGCGGTCTAACTGAAGAGCAGATTGATTCGCAGTTTCATTTTGACCGCGATAAAACAGTGAAAACTCTGGGTATCTCGTGGGACGCAAAGACTGACTCTATAACATACACGGTGAAATCACTCGATACAGAGTCAGCAAGCTCAAAAAGAACTATCTTGTCCGAGATAGCAAAAATATTTGACCCTTTAGGATTATTAGGGCCAATTATTTTATACGCAAAATCAATCATGCAACAACTTTGGACATTAAAACTTAGTTGGGATGAGTCCGTCCCCACCAGCGTGTACACACAATGGAACGAATTTGCTAGGCAGTTATCGCTTTTGAATAACTTGAAATTTGA